AGCTGTCCTGCGTCTGACCTCAAAGTGCACAAGCGTCCAACTTGAAGCGTTAGATGAGATTTTGAAGCTGAAATCACGTTCGGTGTGAACGCAGCATAATGCTTCAACTAATCAGGGATCCCTTTGAGGCAGATGCCTTAAAGATGTGGGTTTTTTTAGTTAAATTAACGAAATATGGAGGGGACATAGCCCCTCAAAATGTAACTATGGCCCKCGTTAATTTTGGAAGAAAACTCCTCAAACCCAGTAATTGTATTTAAAGTCTTCCCATCTGAAAACAGTTTTATTCACCATTTTGCTCAATGCCCACCACTCTGCTTTGCTTCTCTACCTCCACAACAACCACATGCAGTGGAGGGGGCTTGGAGTACCCAGATTCGGTTCGCTGTCCAAGAAGTTTGGTAAGACCCATTATTTCTGGAAGTGAAGAGAGCATTGCAGTCAATCTCCAGTTGAGTTGTCCCGATCAGCTGTTAGTGTTAGCTAGGCTTGGGCAGTATGGATATAACGCGGAATCAAATATGGGGTTGGTGTATAAAAATTATAATGGTATTAATCACATGAGGCGATGCACCAAATTTTCAGGCAATTTCCACAAAGCTGCTAAAAAACTGGGACATAAACATTCTAGGCTCAGAGCGAGGYAGTAGCTGAAACACACTCGCTGTCATTTTTGCTTCTCTGCAGTCTGCTCCTAACACGACTGATGTCTCTGTTTCCATGAGCTACCTGGAGAGCCACGCAGGGTGTGTCCTGAATCTGTAGCGAGACCTCCTCTCCGTCCAGGGTGACCTTTCTGGAGTAGAGCGCTCCTGCAGAGAGAGAGAAAGGAATCCATGTGGATGAACGAATGGATGGATGGATGGATGAAAGTATGAATTAATAGTTTATGTGTGTGTTCAGCTTCAACAGTGGAAACTCACCTGTGTTTGCTTCATAATCTCCAATGAACCTCTTAGTCAGAAACCTGACAATCAGGGCTGAAAAAAACAAAACGTCTCAGTCAGCGAAAACAAAAAACGTGTTGTGCTGCATAACTTTAGAGGCACTGACTGTCCTTGAGTTGTTGCTGGTGGAAATTCCTTTCTCCCAGCCACATATTTTTATAATCAAGAGCCGAGTATCAGGGAGATAAAACAAAAAATCAAGACTATGAGTGTGAATAAAAAAAGGTCATAAAACTCATAATGTTGCATTAAGTTGTTTTGAACTTGAACATTTGTTTTCATCTTCTCAGTTTCACACCAGAGCTTTAGAGACACTAACACAACATTCCTATCAGAGAGAAGGGATTTTGCCTTCGGGGTTCTGAAGAAAAGAGGAAGTGAACCTGGAGTGAGCAAAACACAAAACCATCCACAGAAAAACACAAAAGATGTCAAAACAAGTTGTGGTTACACAAAACGCACGCTGAGAGAAGACAACTGAAAATAAGTTTCAGATTTTAGCAAGACAAAACCAGATTCTGTTGACGAGACGGTGTAGATATTTTAGAAGTGTTACGTTTTTAGGGTCAGGTAAAGCTTCTTGTCCTTTTGGCCATGTAGCACATTTGTAACTACAAAATGGTCTATTACATTAACATGATTAGTATCAGTATCAGAATTAGTATTGGTGTATTTACTTGGTAGCGGACTGCTACAAAAGTGCCCCCCCCCCCCCCCCCCCCCCCCCCCATTGTTTGTAATCCAACAGACTGCTGTTATTATAAGGTATGACTCCACTTTTTATTAGCTGGTTGAGAATTTAAAATGTGGTTAGGTTTCAAACAACCACCATTTCAGGTATAAATTCATCACTTCATCATCAGCTGGATGTTCACATAAAAATACAACTGCCAGGCTCCTCTATGTATTGATCTGGGACAGTAAGAAATCGAGAGAAACAGGACATAACACTGTCTGAATGGGAACAGACTGTTTTAGAAGACAGGATGTCTTATGAAAAAAAATGATGTACGCTCTCAGAGCGCATGTCCAGACGATAAAGTGCAATCCAGCCTGAGTGACCAAACATTTAATTGCTTTTCATTTAGTCTCCCTCCCGCCTTTAATATTCCTCCAAACTTGGCAACAAATATAGCGAATCCCACCCTTCTTTCACTCTGACAAATAAGCCACTTTGTTGTGTGTGTTTACTCCTAGTTGCTTTGCTGGCTGATGTGTTTAGTCTAGCTGATGTGTCGGCAACAACATATTTTCAGACCCTCTTTTTAAGTTTCAACGTGAATAAATTTGTCTGATATCTAAAGTTGAACTTTTGTGAAATTGCGCCAGCTTAAACTGTTTGGTCAGTGTTTATATTATTTTTCTATTTTAAAACATTTTCTTTATCATATAAACCATTAACCACAATAAAATCTGCATTCTGTTGAATCAATTCACATAGTAGAAAGGTGTGGGCCAGATCTGGGGTCAAGCAGTCACTGCAAGTGATTTGTCAACTGGACGTGGGTCAGGTCTGGCAATGTTTATAAGATGGCATGCCACAACTGGCCCACTTGTGGTTTGGTCTATATGGCCCAAATCTGTCAGTGCCACAGCTGGCTCACTTGTGGTTTGGTCTATATGGCCCAAATCTGTCAATGCTACAACTGGCTCACTTGTGGTTTGGTCTATATGGCCCAAATCTGTCAATGCTACAACTGGCTCACTTGTGGTTTGGTCTATATGGCCCAAATCTTTCAATGCCACAGCTGGCTCACTTGTGGTTTGGTCTATATGGCCCAAATCTTTCAATGCCACAGCTGGCTCACTTGTGGTTTGGTCTATACGGCCCAAATCTTTCAATGCCACAGATGGCTCACTAGTGGTTTGGTCTATATGGCCCAAATCTGTCAATGTTACAACTGGCTCACTTGTGGTTTGGTCTATATGGCCCAAATCTGTCAATGTTACAACTGGCTCACTTGTGGTTTGGTCTATATGGCCCAAAT